TAGTAACACGGCAGGCTGCAGGTAATCGTTTGTAGATATAAAAGGCTCATTCTAAGGTAACAAAAACATAATGATTCTTATCTTCAGGTGATTATTTACAAATGAAAGCATAATTATGCATATTATATTCCATTTCTGGCTACACACTGGACGTTAGAGTTAAATGTGTTATTTCTTTGCAAAACTAACATTCTTGCAAGCAATCAGGACACGTTCTGATTTTTTTATGCGTTCTGACTTGCATGAAATCATTTTTGTAACAGCTGTAACCATCAAGCTCATCAAGAGACAAATGACTAAAGCCACTTCCTTCCTTGTGAATGTTCATGTTAGAGAGATAAGAATCATGTCTGTTGATTCAGGCCATGAAGAAGAATAGCTGAGGGTTTCAGCTATTCTCAGTCTCAACTAAGTGTTAATCAATAGAACAGGAAAAAAAACAACAACAGAAAACATCCCTCCAGCTCCCAGAAGCCGAGCAAAATTTTGAACATAAGTCTAAACACAACCTCACACCCAACCCTGTCAGTTCTGGGCCGTCACAAACTACAAACAAAACGTCACTGGTCACCTTGCTGAAGGACTGACGGTTCTGCTTCTCCTCCGTCACGCTCTTGGTCATCCACTGCTGATTGCCACTCAGCTGGTCGTCCCCTTTGATTTCCAGAAACTTCACCTCCTCTTTGCCCCTGTTCCGTTTCCCTTGCAGCCGCATGAACTGAAGTACAGGAAGAAAACGCTCACATGAACAACATTCTCAACCTGGCTTTAAGGTCATACAGTCGTACTTTTTGAACTAGGAGCTACTATTTAACCTAAATCAGGGGAATCAAACAGTCAAACAAAAGCAAAAAAAAACAATACAATATTCTTCTTACCGCTTCATCATCAAACATGGCAGACTGTCCAGGCTCTTCAGCCTCTGCCAGTCCAGGGTTAGGATCTTGGTAGTATGGCTCATTATAATAACCCTGTAAAAGGAGAAAATGTTTGGGATGTCACTTAAATTCATGTTTCATTTTTGTTGGTTTATATCTCTTTAATGTCTACAGTCGAACATCGTCTACCATAGTTCAAGCAGTTAGCTTTACTGGGATACTAGCAGCCCTTCTATGCACTAGAGACTAATGGACATTGTGCATGGTTAATGTTTGTGTATGGCAGAACAAAGATGTCTGTGCAAACACATGACCTGGTGCTCTGTAGCTCTGTGTTCATCTGTGGTATTTATGGATATTAAAGTGTTCTTCTGTTTGTAAAATTAACATCTATACTGTAAGTCCAATCAGTATCACTTGAACATTATTCAATGTGACTGAATAATGTTCAAGTGCGTGCACGCCTCAACCGATGAAGGATCTAACGATTGTTAATAAGATAATAAGAATAATGTAAGTACATTTAAACATAGTCAGTGTAATGTGAATCTAAAGTCATATAGCTGACATGTGCACAGAGTACAATGTACTGAATGAGTCATGATTACCGGAGGGAGAGCTTCTGGGCCTGCCATGGGCTGTTGATACTGAGGATATTGACCTCCCCACGCACCAGCTCCTTCATTGTTCCCCCCAAAGTCGAGTGGTGCGTCTGACTGACCGGGCTCATCCGCAGGTGAAAAAGGAATAGGATCTGCGGGGGCTACGGGTGCGGGGGCTACGGGTGCGGGGGCTACAGGTTCGGGGTCTAAGCTTGGGACGACTGCGGGGAGAGGCTGCGGGCTCTCGCCCAGAGAAAAGTAGTTCTGTGGGGTTATGTCCTCCTCGTTATCCTGGTCGTCAGTGGCTATTTGTCTAGCCAGCTGCAGGGCGGCGGACTTTGCTGCAGCTTTGATGGCAGAGGGGGACGCGCTAGAACCAAGCAGACCCTGAGCTGGCGTCCCAGGTTTGGGTCCTTTGGGTTCTTGGCGCTTGGTGAGTGTGTGAGGAATCAGGGGTCTATCCATCTCCTTCACTGTCAGATTTTTGGGTTGTGGTAGAAGGGAGGACAGGCCTGAACCTGCACCCTGGAAGAGGCAAGAGATCGGGATGGAAATGTGCACATGCAAAACACACTGGATGCTGGTTAAACTCTCTTTTATCATGTGTACACAGTCCTATGAAATGATTATGAAAAGGTCGCACTACACAGCTGAATTCTTCCTGTTTTGTCGGGAGATGAGGTAACATTTTATTCTGTCATCTGTGAAAGAGATTTTTACCTGAGGTTGTAGCTTTTTCTTTGCTGGTTCATCATCATCAGAGTCTGACTACGGACAAGAAAATCATAGATAAGCAAACACAACCTGACTACATACCAGAGGAGCGACAGTATTCATAAGCAAACTGCTGAATGAGACACAAAACTCACATCCCGTCTCTGGATCTGTGGCACTGTGATCTTGACGGGCTCTGTCCGCTTCCTCGGCTTCGGCAGACTAGAAAATAAGCCTCCTCTCGATGGCTGCGGGTATAAGTCATCGTTTGACGTGCTGTCCCCTGCTGAAGGCTTCACTTTTGTCTCCTTGCTTGGTCCATAGCTCCCTCCTGTCGACCCAGGCTTTTTAGGAGCAGGCAGCCGAGAGAAGAGTCCTCCTGCGCTGACTCTGGTTTCCTCCGAGTCACTATCATCACTGCTGCCGTAGGCGACTAGAGACATGTTTGCGGGTGTGATTAAAGATTATTAATCTGCAGCAACTCGTGGACATGGAGAACCACTTCACTTGCCCTTGATTTGCTCTCAAGAAGCCGCAAGTCACGCTTTTTCCACGACTTTAATTAAAAGGTAGGGTAATGTTTCAATCAATATAGCCACACAGAGACTAAATTAATAATCGGAGGAGCTGTAGTGTCGTTATAAAAACCCCAGCAGGTTAAAAAAGGGGCCTCGGAGTGAGCTGAGAAAATGAAAGGACTGCCCCAACTACACGGCGCTAGCTAATGTGAGCTAGGCCGCCACAGCAACGATATCAGCCTTACGGAGCTTTTCTTGTTCAGTCAAATTAATAATAATTCGTCTCGGGTCTGTTACTGCACACGATACAGCAGTGGGTGATGCAGCAGCTGTGTTTAACGCCGAGAAACCGGAGCTTTTTTTAGTCCCGAGACTCCAAAACATTCGCCTCCATCGTTTATTATTGAAGAAACGCCTATTGCGCAACTTTCTGCGCAGCTTTTTCTTCTTCTGTTTGTTATCAGGAGGCTCTCACAGCGCCCCTAAAGGACCGAGTGGGTACACACATCACTCAGGATCAGATGTGTTGTCAAGTAGGTTTTCTTTTCGGTGCACAACAGTAAACACTGTAAAATAAAATAAAATTAAAATATGGAAAATATTATAAAAAAAGAGCCATACAGTGCTCGAATGTGCTAAATCATTTTACATTGAATTTGTGGGTTTAAAAAAATGGGGGAGTCCAAATTCTTCAATTAAAGTCGTACATGATGCGTGTATTACAAGCGGACTCCAGTTTGTTTAGACTTGATGTGTTTGAATCTAGCAACTTTTAGGCCAACACAATTATAAATGAGCAAAGACACAATTTTATTCCTGCCAGTGTGAGCAAGGCTTTGAAAGACCGAAAGAAAGGATGATGGATCAGTTAAGTAAATATTGAAAATGTCTAATTTCTTTTGAGGATAGTGAGGAGTATGTTAGGGGAACTCCTAACCTCAATATGTTTTTAACTCTAGCTACGGCCCTGTTGATGATCCACCCTAATTGTCTACTATTGGAAAAGCAATTAAGGTTTTAAATTAAAGTATAACGCTTGATTATAATTTCTCCAGAAAAACAAATCAAGAGAAAATAAAGTGGCAGTCTGATTACCTTTCTTAACTTGCATATAATCCAAGAACATAAAAACACACAGCCTCATCTCTCCTTATTGTCTTTATTTTTCATCCATGTATAGCACAACAATCCTGATACTGCATATATATCCAAAAGCATGTGCAGATGGCCAAAAGCTGATATCATGCATGTTTTTCATGGTTTTCTGGCATGCCCCACCTTCAGAAGCCGACCAATTAAGTACCAATTAAGGAAAAATCTTCCTGCTATAACATATACTAAAATGATAGACAACTGGAAAC